AATAGTATCTGCAGCATAAACAAACTTAAATGAAATGTACACGGTCTCCAATGTGTGCATGTTATCACATTGTCATCATTTGAATGCGAGCCATCACATCACTTTACACACAAGACAAGCTCTGCTGTGACAGCTCTTTCATATTCTCAATAAACAAAAAGTATATTTTCATAATCTTATATTTATTTACCACATGTCCCATCAGTAAAAACATTATTTTATGATTTACACGGAGTTTCTGAATCTAATATCTTAATGTGGTATGGTATCCACGTGAATAATGATTCTTTATTAAATAAACATAAGAACTGATCAATATTAAATCATAATACTCTAAACAGCAGCCGCTGGCTTACATTGTTCACATTACTGAGTGTCTAAACTACCAATTTTACTTCTGAGTTTTAAGTAAACATGCAAAAATATAAACCTTTACTTGTCTGGTTAACTGAAATAAAATGATCAACTGCACATACCTCTGCTGAATCTTAACTTGAACGGTGGACTTGCGCTGATGATGTCAGCATCTAGGTAGGCACGCCCAGGGCACGCGATTACGGCCATAGTGGGTTATGATTGGTTGACAGACAGGCTCAAATCTGATTGGCTAAATAGTACGAGTGTCCCGCGTGAGAGGAGTTCGCTGTCAGGACAGTCTCAAAATTCACACACAAATCCAGAGCGATTCACATTCACAGCCAGAGATAAACTCGAAAATTTTTAATATTCATAAATTTTGTACACCGTTGTACATCTGTGAATTGTGTTTTGCATTTGTGAAACGTATTTTATGAATATATATTCTTATTTTTGTGCACGTGAATTGGTTTTTGTGAATAAATGTTTTTTTTTTTCGTGCACGTGATTTATTTCTCATGCATTGTGAATTGGGTTATGCGTGTGTGCATCAAGTCTTTTGCGTGAATTATTATTGAGATCATTCTGGCTCCATACACTTATAGATTCATGTGAAAAGTCATGCAAATGTGAGACCCTGTTTGTGTTCTTTACTAAAGAGTATGACAAGAAAAAAAATGCTGTGTGAATGCAGGCTACATCTGATTGTCACCTGCATGACTACTACTTTTACTTATTTTATTTGCATATTTTACTGGAAATAAGTGGCCAAGAAGATAGAAATCACAACTATATATATCTCCCTCTCTGTCTGCTCAAGCATAGGCATACTTCCCAGTTCCCAGGTGCACCATGTACTTTATCAGTTCTTAAAGGGATTGTTCACCCAAAAATGAAAATTTGATGTTTATCTGCTTACCCCCAGGGCTTCCAAGATGTAGGTGATTTTGTTTCTTCAGTAGAACACAAACGAAGATTTTTAAAACATGGGTCGATTTTTGCATTTGTCTGATTTCTGAACAAAACATCAGTTTTATTGAAAATGCTCATTCATTCTCTGCCAGCAGGTGGAGTGTTTGTTAGAAATATAACTGTTTCCCTGGTAACGGCAGAACACAAAGCAGCGCAGCACCGGACGTTGAACGTGCAGCGCTCATGTTTATTTAATGAAATCATAGCCTTTTGAGGTTTAATTGTCACATTCAGCCATATGGCAATTCTTGTCTTTCCGTCCCCAAATTTAAGACCTCTTGAAATCATAATTAAGACTTTCTTGTACAATTTAAGACTTTTTAAGGCCTTAAATTTGATATAACTAAATGTAAGACTTTAAGACCCGCGGTAACCCTGTATATTACAAACTGACTTCGATCTTCCAAGCTGTTTATGGCAGTCAGCGGGTGTTGCAGTTCATCAGTCCAAAAGAAGTGAAATAAAGCGCATCCATCCATAATAAAAAGTGCATCACACGGCCACGGGGGGTGAACAAAGGCCTCCTGTAGCGTTATCTATGCGTTTTTTCTAGCCTGCGCCAACAGTTGTACACAGAAGCAGCTCCGGGAGGATGACGTAAGATGTCGGCGTTGCGCATGCGCCGGTGAGTCTCGTCAAAACCAACATTGGTTTACATGAGCAAAGGAAAACCAGTCTCCTCTTGGCATATATCAGAATCCTCCGACATTCTTTACAAATCCTCGTTTTGTACTTCTAATTCATGACCATTGTTTTGATCTCTCCCCTGCGCTTCTGCGTTTGTCACTTCTGAGTGACACGCATGCGCAACGCTAATGTCCTTCGTCATCAGCCCGGAGCTGCTTCCGTGTACAACTGTTGGCGCAAGCTAGATTAAAGTGATTAAGTTTTAAACAGTTATTTTTCTTACAAAAACGCATTGATTCACTACAGGAGGCCTTTGTTGACCTTGTCTGAAGTATTGTATTGATTTACATTTACATTACATTTAATTATTTGTATGCTTGAATAAAGTGATTTGTGTATGTATTTCTGTTTATGTCTCCAAGCTCAACCTGCCTTTGGCAACGAACCTGTGTGCCCTGCTGCATAGGGCTGTTACATCCCGGTATACTCCGGGTGGTGTAGTCGACTAGGATTTGTTTCTTTTGTTACTGGTATCTTCCTCTACTTGACCACTCTTGCCACATCTGCATATTTCAAATCAATGTGCCTTAGACTCAGAAAAACAACTGAAGGTTTTGTTTCAACTAACAATGAGACCATCAGCATGCAACAAGTCAAGCAATGCTTCCATGACTCTCCTGTGTGTATTTTCATCAGTAATCCAGATAAAAATGTCATCCACACACTGAACTATAGTTGACTGACTTTCCCATTTGTCTAATGTTGGTTTTACATTTAGTAATTTAGCAGATGTCGAAAATTTTTATTAGTCAAAATATGAATTGTTCGAGTGTAATCATTATGAATATAACCATTTATATATATCCAGTTATTCTTCCATTATAATCATATATGCCTGTGCCTACGTGGCTAAACTGTACAGACCCTTAGATTAGAAACATCTGGAAAAATACAAATGGGGCTTCTTTCTTTACCATAGCAAGACTTAGGGCCCCTTCTCTCTAGGGAGAATTGTATGCCCAAAGGAACCATTCTATGTATGGAAAACGCCTTAAAAGAAACTGTATAAAGAGAAGGCAAAATAACCATTCTGGAGATTTTTTTCTGCAGAGAACTTCTCGGCTTTGTTCAGTTTGAAATAAAGTCTAACTTCTGAAAACAAAACCCCAAGACTGAGTGTGATCCCTCGGAGCAGCGGCTGACAACACTACACAGACGCTTTTATCCAAAGCGACTTACAAATGAGGACAATGGAAGCAATCAAAATCAACAAAAGAGCAATGATATACAAGTGCTATAACCAATCTCAGTTAGCTTAATGCAGTACACGTAGCAAGGTTTTTTTTTAAATTTTTTATAATATAATAAATAAAAAGAAAACCGATAGAATAGAAAAAGAATAGATGAAGCTAGTGTGTAGGATATCAGACCGAATCAGACAATCTAAGATTTGGTCAAAACCGAGTTGTATCCAATAAAGCCTTATTTATATGGAAAAGAGAAGTATCTTGTGTTTTGTGCTCACAAGTTAATGTCTTAAACTGCCGATCTTGTTACTATGCTAATTAATAGTGTTTTCACTATATTTTGGATATTGATATCCATTGCAGAATTGCTGTCATACGGCTCGTTCG